TTGAGTCCCTATGCTGATATATGAAAGATGTACTAAAAAGTTGAACTGCAGTTCTATAGGGAACGCAATACTTGAGTTTTTGGCACTTTTTCGATTTAGGCTACTTTTACTTCTGTTTGACTCAGTATTTCATTGAAGTAATAACTTGAATAAGGTTTAAGGCTACTTCATGTCCAGTTACAGTGTTTAACCAGAATATTTAGCCAGATTTTGTTTTTGCTGTTGTTGTTTGAAAGGGATGGTTTATGTCCTATGAATCAGTATGAAGCATATGTAGTTATCAGTAAACATCGATGTGAATAAAGTGAAGTTAATTCAAAATGGTTAAATTGTTAACATTTTAAATATTTCCTTATATATACAGTTCTCTGATAGACCACATACAGGTAATTGCAAAAGTTTGAATCAAATTTGGCATGTTTTGTTGATTGTCTAAGTGAAAATAAGTTAACAGATCCTCTACAGGCAACACACTTAAATAAAGAATTGTTCTGCTAATTTTAGTGCACAGTTTTTGTTTATTTGCTGAGTGTAACTTAAAATATGTGCTCTGATACATGTTTTTTTAAGTATGTTAAATTCAGAAAACAAACAAACACACACACACACACACACACACACACATTTTCTAAGTCGCTTATCCTTCTGGGTCACAGGGGGGGAGCTGGAGCCTATCCCAGCAGTCACTGGGTAAAGACAGGTCACCAGTCTATTGCAGGGCAGACAGACAGACAGACATATACATTCACACACACACACACGAAAACAAACAGTAATTGTACAGTAATTGAGTAACACATGCTCAGTAAAAACTGTACTTTTCAGGGTACAAACACTGTCACTGGGGTGGTACCTCAAGAATATTTCTTGACTCCAGGCTTTTTATTTTATTTTTTACTTTAAAAGTTAAAAAGGTAAATATGCACCTTATCCTGGGAAAGTGAATGTAATGTACCTTTAAAATACCTTCATATACCTTGAATTCATTTAAGGTAAACTGGACCTTAACATTAACATTACATTTACATTGTTTGTACAAAACAAAACAAAAGTGTGTGGCCTGGTACTTTTTTACTTCCACTTAAGTTGGTTTACTGTACTTTTACTTCTAATGGGCTCAGTATTTCATTGTCATAATATTAAGTTAATAAGTAAGGCTGCTCCATGTCTCAGTTACAGTGTTTAACCTTGTCTTCAGACATGTTCAGGCAAAACCTTTTGCTTATTTTCTTCTTGTTGTTCGAAAGTGATGTTACATGTCCTTTGAAAAGTATATATACAGTCATATGCAAAACTTTGGCTGACATCCTCTACAGAGGACACACTTCTGCTCTTTTTAATGCACAATTGCTATTTATTTGCTGAATTTAACATTGGAAAAAAAAGATGTGGCTTGTGCAAAAGTTATGGCACAGTTTATATGTTATGTTTTTTTTTCTGAAGTGCTAAATAAAAAAATAGAAATGATGCACTAAATTTGCAGAAAAATACCATATTTTAGTTTCTTCCCTGTAGAGGACGTGTTAATATATTTTCTTTTGAAAAATCAACAGAATGAGTAATTTGAGTGGGGGTATTCAAGCTTTTGCATACTGCTGTAGTTATATCAGTAACAGCAGTGTGAAAAAAGTGAAAGAAGCTGATTTATGATCTTAGAATATGCACAAATTATTAACATTTGCAATAAAATATGAAGCTTTCTGACAGACCACATATATTAACTTAATTTTATTTAAAAAAATATCATTTTAATTTCAATTTGAAAACATAAAAACTATAGAAAGAGTTTGCAGAGTGATTATAAAGTACATGTATCTAACAGTGCATTCCATCTTACTCTGTCTGTTAGGGCTAGGAGCTGTGTACAAATCTGAACTTGTCTTGAAAATCAATCAAGCACAATCTCATGGATGCTATTTGTAAAATGTTGGTAACAGTAATCTCAACAGGCTGGATTATTCAGCAGTGAAGACACTCCCCTGGACAGAGCGTGTACCAAAGTATTTCAGAGCTCTTTCAGAGCTAAATTGAGCAGATTTGATTTTTTTCACTGATAAATGAGCAGGTCCGCATATGAAGATGAAATTCTTGTTGTGGTGTGGGAATTTTTCCCAGGCTATTCCAAGCAGGCAGGAGCAGAGATTTAAAGGTTAATCCAGTTTAAAATGATGTTCAGATCTGAAGCTGGAGCTGGACAGACACAGTCATCCAGTGAAATCTCCAGCCACGTGCACCCTGGGCAAAAAAAACATCTAATCTACTTTACTGCACATCAGTGCCATCTTTAAAGTTTTCAAGTAAAGATTTCAAGCAAAGATGCTCATGTTGATACTCCTGTCTGAGCCTAGGCCTAGTCATAGCCCCCCATAAATCCCCCTGCCTCCTTATATTTTACATTTGAATTATTATAAAACTTGATTATTATATGTTCAACAACATTACATGTTCAGCTAAACTATATATTACAGCACTATATTATCTATCAGTTTACTTATTGTTGGCTATAATTGTGTTGATGTAATATATTTTGTTAATATGGAAATGAAATGTATCACTTTTTAAATGTAGTTGAACATATAATAATCAAGTTTTATAATCATTCAAATGTAATGATCATGACAAATGTAATGACAGTAAACTTACTGTGTTTAATGCTATTAAAAAAGATGCCTTAAGTGCACTGAACTTGTGTACTATTCATGAGTGTTTTACAGGGACAATGAAAGCAAAGCAATTTATGCTTTATAACTTATTTCCTTATGTTACTTATTTAACATTTAACATAGTAGAGGACTTATGTGGTGTATACATGTATGCCTTTTCATCTACCGTTCTAAGGCCCCCTTTTTATGATATTACACAAGATTATCCATTTTTGGCACAAGGACTTTGACGACAAAGACCCAGATGGTCTTTCTATCTTCAGAACTGGCACAGGAGTTTTTTGTGGTAAGCTGAGAACGCAGTCGACTCTTTTAGACTCTGTCCTGTTTCACTGCCTGTCTTTCCTTGTCACTGACTTTTGACTTACCATCATTGTTCCTCTTTTTACCCGAGGCAGGTTTTTCTAGCCTGGCATATACTGTCATGATTTTTGACACTGCTCACCTCAATAACATTTTTTCTGCTGGTGTCTGAAATTCAGGCAGCAACCAGTTTAATTTCACAGTCTGCTGGATGTCTCAAGTTATGCATATATGCGAGAACAAAACCTCACATCTCCAGAATGGAAGCTTCACAGGAGAAGGTAAAAACATTCTTAAGTTATAAAAGAAGTTGATATAACAACGTTGTTTTCAAAGTCATTTTGAATACAACAAGACTATTTTTAACTATTTCATCATGAAATTTTCACACAATGCAACAGACAACTAGAGTTTTGAGTTTTTGAGACATGGACATGGATTTGCACAACAGCAACGATATATATATGGTCACCATGCCTGGTGCCAAGCGCCAGCCAGAGGGGTATAAAGCTCCCCAATATTGGGTTATGGAATTGTGGAACTGTGTTCTCTGAAGTGATGGAGCACCATACCTTTGGGATGACTTAGAGTGATGTTTGTGATCTAGAACTAATCATCCAACATAAGTACCTGACCTCACTAATGCTCCTGTGTGAGTGCAATCAAATCCTCACAGCAATGTTCCAATATCTAGTATAAGGGTGGGAAACTGCACAGTTTGGTGGGTTTCCTGCTTAAACATACCTGATTCAACTCAGTTGTTGATTACCAGGTTTAGCTGTCCTGTCAGAGCAGAGAAATCCACAAACTGTGCTGGACTCCAGCCTTCAGTGCACCACCATCCATCTCGTGTAAAGCCTACCCTGAGGAGTAGAGGCTGTTCCTGCAGCAAAGAGGGAACAAACTCGCTATTAATACCTTCAATTTCAGAAGAAATGTTGGACGAGGGGGTGTCTTCAAACTTTTGAACAAAGGACATATAGCGTACATATAAATTGCAACTACAAACTTCAAATGCAACTATGCAACATTGTTTAAATTCAGTAATAATTTTAATACCAAGCACATCATGTGTGTTGCTTTAGGTCTGTTTGAGGCCTGAAGGATGGCATGGAAAACAGGCATAAAGAAAGCAGAGAGTGGACAGGGACAATTAGATGGAGACTGGTTACTAAAACAAAAAAATAAAATGATGTCAAGAACTTAAGTGAGGGTGACAAAGATAGAAAAGACAACTCGTAGGGGAAAGGAAGAGTCGAGCTAAGCCAGGGTGAAGCAGATGAAGCTTGACAGTCAAGGTGAGTATAAAAGGCAGAGCTGGAGGAAAAAGCATCACCCGCAACAGGAGAGACACTGACAGAGGGGCAGGGTGCAATGTCCTCTAATAAAGGTCCAGGCCTGTCATCCTCCATTACTGCAAACTGCTCTCACATTTTTAGCTGAAGCTACACTGTGAAAAATGGTTTAACCTGAAAAAAACTTCATGGTAACAAGCAGTTAAACTGGCTTTATTCAACTCCAAAAACTACACTGAATGAAACAATGCAAAGCTAAATAAATAGGTTACAGTGTACTTGATTACTGAATTGTTCACATATTAAACCAATCAGAACATTTGCATTTAACATTAACATTTGCTTCTATTACTTACTCCTATAATTATAACTTCATTCTTAAAAAGTAATCAATTCAAATCTGTATTCCCAGTCATTTCGACATGAACAAAACATTTTTCATCAACAAAATGTTGCCTTTCAATTTACTTTTGTCAGTAATTAATACAATCTGCATGGAAATTCACATCAGTCAGGTAAATTCAATGCACTGCTTTTTAAGTGTATGTTCCTTTGTTTTCCATAGTTACCGAATAACAAGCCTTTGGATGTGGACCTCCATGTACAATAATGGGTTAACTCTATTTTATCTTGTTATCTCTCAAAACACTGAATTGAAGTGTCATGAGCACTTTTGCTAATAAGTTGAAAAGGAAGACTTTAAAAGTCAAGCTTTGGCTACAGTTTCTAACAAGTCAAAATGACAGCAAAAAAAAAAAATCTTTTAAAAAGTGGAGCTGCCACTCTTGTCCTTACCATAGAGACCAGGGAGTTTGAGGGGCTTAGCCGCCAAGCCCCTTCAAAGACATGAAAAACCTTTGTAGCCCCGCACAGTCCTCCAGATTACAGCAGGCTGATGAGACAGGGGCACCCTTGGGCAATCGCACAGCTCCGCAGGTGAAGAGAGAGAGCCTGATGGGCACATGAAACACTCAGGTATCTGACAGGGGAGCACACTGCATCGCATCAGAGGAGCCAGGAGCTAACAACATGAATCCAAACTCTCTGAAAACATGCATCGTTTGGAACCATATAACGCAGCAAGTGGTGAAGATCTTTTATAAATGTGCCAAAGCCCACTTGTGTTTATTTGTATTGTGGTGAAGGCTCTGATTTTGGTGTTATTTTAGGAAGGTGGTAGCAGCAAAGCAAGCCCAGTGGTGTGTCAGATTTATGGTGTGTTTTTTCCTTTCAAATGGGAATATCACCATGGGCAAACATTTCTTTTGATGGTTTTATTTCATCTTCCCAGTCTTTTTGGGTGTCTAACGTCTGAAATTTGAAAAGTCCCAGCTGAGTCTCACTATTTTAACTTACCAAATTGATCTAAGCGTTTGCTAACTTCTGTCTAATAGCTGTTCTTCTGTGCACTGCAGACAAAAGACATGAATTTCAGGGCTCTTGGAAAAAACAAAACCATTGTTGTTTGCTTTTTTTCCCCCACCGTAAAAGTAAAATTTGAGGGTGACTACAGGCTTTAGTTAAAATACAAGACACAAGACACATGATATGAAAAGAGCAAGAACATCTCTTAGCAGTAGCGAAGTAGCTAAGTGCTTTAGCACACTTGGGCAGAGGGATAGGTGATATAGGACAAAAATGACATCACAATACTTGAAGATATTTTGACAGTATGATAAGTGCCACATTTACTTACGTAATTAATGAAAAAAAATCAATCAACTGGTAAAAATCAGTAAAATAAAACAATTGCATAATGGGCAGCTATTTATTACTATGTAGTTAACACAGTTAGTGTACATTACTTGCTGTTGTTAAAGGCATTATACTATAATTTGTCTTTTTTATGATACACGCAGTTATCCAGTGTTCTAAAAGTACAGATGATACCTGTGATATTCAGGTCAAACTGATTTGGAGTGCCCTTTTAAAACAGGCATCACAAAGCAGCTTTACAGATATCTGGGCCTGCATTCACAAAGCTTCCCAGAGCAGGACAGCTGACCAAGGATCAGATTCCTCTCTTATTTACTATGACATTACATAGAAGAACAGATCCTAGACCAGCACTTCTACTCTGACCAGTTTCATGAACGTGGGCCCTGGTCTCAAGCCCCCTAGTGAGCAAGGCAAGGGCAAGGAAAAGCTCCCTAAAAGCAAGAAGAAACCTTGAAAGGAACCAAGACTCAAAATGGCAAAACAATAAGAACAATAAGTATTTCCCACGCCCCCCCTTGTGCATCACTTTTGTACAACAATCCAACAAATGATATTCAAAATGCCAAGTAATGTGGGAATAACATGCCTGTATCTACTCTAATCCTTCATAAATGTTAATTAGGCCGAGGCCGAAGCTATCCCATCTGTATACGGATCCATTTATTCATTCGCTTACAAATCCAGTGCCATTTATGCAGGGCATAAACCTCTGTGTGAGGAGATGTACAGCACAAGAAAAAGTTAATTTGATTCATGAGTAGATTTAATGGAGAAACACTGAAGCGTAAGAGCAGATATAATGTACCTTCCAAGAATGTCCCCCATAAGTTCTGCCCAGCTGTCAAACCCACTAAGTACTCCTCAGCTACACTGCTGCGGATCGAGCGCTCGTACAGGCTGTACAAACCTGGCTGTGTGATTATCAAAAGACAAAAAGAGATGAAGAAGAAAAAAGGAGACAGCGACGAGGGAATGGAAGCAATCAATTAACATGCATTCACCCATAAGTGGCCTCCCTTGTCTATATTTAGCACTTGTCTGGATAAAATGCATAAATATTAATTAATCTGCTAATTGTCTGCCTCTCTGCCTTTAAATGTCTACTAAATGATATCAGAAAAAGCTCTCGATGAACATAATTGACGTTGCGGGGAAATCACTCCCATAGTTTTTAGCATGTGCAACGGCAATTATCTTTATCAATTTTTGTTTATGCGTCTGGGTTGAATAAAACTGCATTAAAGCTGTTTAATTCTGTTCCCCCATGCCGCTTCCTTTGAATAATCATGCTTGGCAATAATGATGTGTTTTGCAATGCAAAACACTCACACACTGCTCGCTGTCACACACAGCCCATGTAACTAGGGAGGAGGGTCCCTTTGTGTCGGTCTCAGACTGATACTGGCAATGAACACCCAGCAGCATGAGAGGTGAGCTACCAAAATGAAGACTGGTCATTCTGTGTTTTATTTTCAATCATTACTTTTGTAACTGTTTGAACTGAAATGTAGGTAAGAATGAGCACTATTCAGGAAAATAATCTGATGTAAATGTGAAATTCTTTAACGGTTCCTTTTAGAGCCAGAATGAGAGCAGGAGAGAAGGGAGACAAAGACAGACAGAGAAATGTTCTTTACTAAGGCACATGAGGGCAGTGCTGCCTATGAATTATTTAGCAGATCCTATTAACCTGTGTCAAATACAACAGAAATTAGTAGTCCTGCTGATACACAAAGCAGCTATTCACACATGCTTGGCTCACCATTTTCTCTGTCTATAAAACACCAAAACACACGGACCTTTAGAGTTGGTGGCAGCTGTGACTGTGAAAATAGAGAATAAATCTATTGAGATGACCCCATGAGAAGGCTGATGATAACTAGGTTGATATATTTTTGATTGGGGTACTGTAAACACCATAGACTCTCAGAAAAAAGGGTACTTTTTAGCTATTTATGAAGTTGTATTGACTCCACCCACCCTGTCTTGACTCCAGACATTTCATGTTATTGTTTTGTTTTAATACATTAAGATATGAACAGGTACAAATATGTATCCCCTCTTTATTTGGAGTGGTCTTTTGTAGATTAATAAACTCTTAACACATCAACAACATATCAGTGAAGTAGCAGTACACTGTAAAGTACAGTACACTGTAAGTAAATATCTGTTAGATGTTCTGTTGATACATTACTTACATTAAGCAGATGTATTGTAAATATGTTACTTTCATTACACAAAACCTAATCTTACCCAACCTATCCTAAAACCTAACCCTAACCCTGGCCCTAATCCTAACCCTAACCTTAACCTCAACCCAAATCCTAATCCTAACCCTTTGTTTGTCTAATCTAAAAGGACCAGAAGACCTTAAAACCAATGTTATACCTTTGAAGATACATTTACATTGTTTGTACCTTGATGAACAAACAATGTACCTGCACAGCACCCTTTATTTCTAGAAGTGTACCTTTGTTGCTATTTTTCAACATTTTATTGTGTTTTCTTTAAGAGGTGTTACAAAAATGGCTACAGCTAATGAGCTGGTAGCTGGGCTGGTAGCTACTTTCAATGACTTCATTAACTGCATTACACAATTTACACTTGTTAATATCAGGGCAGAATAGGTACCACCACCACCTCCAGTGCACTCTTGAAAATAAAGCTTCTTCTGCTGTTACAAGCTTGATATCGTAACAATAGCAAAACCCTTTTTGGTGCTATATAGAACCACCTTCAAAAAGGTTCTATATAGAATCATTTACAACACATTCTCCATCAATCTGAAGAATGATTTACCATGCAAAGAACCATTTAAGCATGCAAATGAGGGTTCATGGTTATACACAGAATCATTGTCTTTACTAAAGAACCTTTGAAGAACCATCTTTTTTTTTATGAGTGTATGCCCAAGCCAAGGACCCCTGAGGAATGTTCATTTTTTTAAGAGTATGTGGTTGGAGGAAAGTTGATATGTACGGTTGTACGCAGACGTTTGGGCGCTCCTGGTTAAGTTACATGTTTTGTGGATTTTGAGTGAAAATAACACATCTTCTACAGAGAACACAGTTCTGCACATTATAATGAACAATAACTGTTTTTTTGCTGAATGATGAAAAAAGCTGAAACTAAACAAAACGTGGACTGCAGACATTAAACATTTTATGTTTTTCCTCAATATGTTAAACTCAGCAAATAAACAGAAATTATGCAATTTACAGGAAAAAAAATTGTCATTTGTTCTCTGTAGAGGATGTGTTAACTTATTAGAAATAAAAACATGACTGAGGGTGTGCAAACTTTTGTATAGGACTGTACCTTTTCTGATGCATCTGAACATGAAACCTGCCCAGGACTCCAGAAAACGTTAAGGCCCTGGAACTGGAGATAGCCTGCAACAGTCTCTCCCCATGAAATGTGCCTAATAAAGCATGAAATGCAAAGTAGTCCATTACATGTACCACAACACATTTTTGAGCAGCAAATTATGGCAACGCATATTGTTGCTGTCGTAATCTCATATCTCAGATATTGCAACTTAATAGGGGGGAGGGAAAATAACGCTATCACTTTAATGCATGCCAAAGCAAAAAAGATTTTATTCCATGTTTTTTTGGACCTTTCTATTTGTCCAATTATCATGTAATGCAACCCATGTCTTCAAAGGGAGGAAAAAAAAATAAATAAAAAAATGGAGTTACATGCTTGGTGATGACATGCAAAAAGAATTTTTCAAAGTTTCAAGACTCTTGGGAAGACCTTTCTTTGTCATCTTATTTTCAGTGTGAAGCCATGAAGAGAGAAAAGATGAAGACCTAGCAACAACAGGACGAGTCAGCTCAAACGGAAGACGGAAGAGTGAATTCTGATGTAGGGAATTCTCTCCAGGTCATCAAGCATCTCGTCAGGCAACACAGCGTGGTGCACACATGAGCCTTGCCATAGTTTTCTCTTCAGATCTTTCAGAGCCCAGCTCCAGATCACACCCTCCAGCTTCTCCTCATGCACACAAACACCCAGACTACCATATGTGCTTCCACATTCTAGGGCACGAGCTGTGCACACACTTTAAATACAAAGCTCTGCCAGACGGATCTTTCAGCTTTTATCTTTGCTCTTCTCCTCAGTGCTCTTTGAGTTGACCGGATTGCCTTATACCATCTGACCCCATCTGGTTCTTCTGTGCTCATTTGTGGCCAATTAGGCCTTTAAACTGGGGCACCACTCCTCTCATCACGTTTGACCTCACGGAGAAATGATTCCATAGCTGTGAAGGCATGACTTGGATTCAGAAGGGTGTAAATTATTAGCCAAATAACTAGGTATTAGCATAATGCGACTGGGGAGAAAAGTAGAGGTGAATAAGACATGAGGTTTGAATAGCCAGAGGGGAGGGTCAAAAAATTGCCATTCATACTGAAGTATGACCAGTTGTTCAAACACATGCGAAGGAGGCTTCTTACACTTCTGAAGAAACTTATGTAGCCCATGCTGCTCCTGACTGATGGTGCAAATATGAGATTGGGAATTGTCTATGACTCGACTAAGAAACCGTCAAGGTGGGGGGAAATACATTGAAATGATTAAAAAGAAATTCACAAGACGTCCTAAGCTCTCTAAAGTCAAACTCCAGTGTGATTGCGATGCAGCACATGCTTTGAACTGAGCCGAAGCGCTTTTGCTTTCCCTTTGAAGGTGCTCGACATTCAGCTCACCGTCAGTCTGAAAGTCAAACTCTGAGCGCTTTCAAAGGTCAGGAAAGTGAAGTTTTACTTTTTCAGTGATGATTCACTTTCTTTGCTCTGAGTCAAAGAGAAACAGAAAATTGTAAAAAAAAATTAAGTACAGATCTTCTTAGAAAGACATCAGTCAAAAAAAATGCAAATCTTTTCAGGAGGCAGTGCAGGAAGAGTCCACTGTATTGTTTTTATTGCCATGTTCATTGAGTGTCTAAGTCCAGTAGAAATCAAATAGTTTTCCAGAATAATGGTGTGAATTAAGGTAGTGAAACATTAAACTGAGTATCAGGATACTCAGAAAGATGTACAGATATGAAATTAAGCATCAAAGCAAGTTGTCACAAAGCTATAACTTGGCTCATGTATGCTATACTCATCATTTGAGTGTGGTTGCTTGTACGTAGCAGAGGGGGGCACCCAAGGTTACATTTTTCATGTCCAGCAGGGACTGACAGTACAAACAACATCCACATGGGGGCTGCACTTAATCACTCTCACTAACTGCTTGTATAAGCAGATCAGACAATGTTTGATGAACATGGTGCCAGCAGGTAAACAGGGTTTTAATTATCTGATTTTGCAGTGTTTGGGCATTCACCTTTGGGGCAGTTTCTGCCTCTGAATAGTTTACTTGATTGGAAAGTGCAGAGTGGTGCTGACCACAGGAATCTGTGCATGACAGAACTTCTCAGAACCACTGTTCTTACACACTACCGTTGAAAGTTTGTAATCACTTGTGATATTAATAATAGCTGTTATTATATTCAGTAATAACTTATACACCAGAAAAGTATTTTAAGATGTTTCAATTAAAGGTGTTTTATTTATAGTGATTTATTAATATGTTATCCACCTCAAGATTTGACAGTGGCTTTTGAAATATGTAGCGTTCTGGGTTTTATTGTATCTTCATTCTCAATGTTTTACAGCTTTCTCAATTATTATGGATTCATCTAAAGCTCTGTTCATCATTCTGGACACACCTAACATTTCTTAATTTTTGCATCTTGTTGCAGAGCACTAGTGTCAGAATCATTTTGTATAAGTATCTTCAATAAATTAGTTTTATGTTAAACAAACATTGATTTCAAATTTTTGAACGGTAGTGTGTACATAGGTTACAGTAGGTACATTCAGAATATACACAGGTACATCCAGCAAACTGAACGTACCCTGGAACACGTATTATGTTTAGCACGTTAAGTCTATATATATAAAATCCCTGAATTACACTGGAGCACATCCTAGATTAGTGAAAGAATAGGGGGCCTGCTTGAAGAAAAACTAGGGGTAAAATAATTACATTTAGTCTTCATAACAAATATTATGTGCCTGTGGCGAGCGGAAAACTAAATTATCTCCCTGCGTGACATCGACATTAGATGGGCAGTATAATGCTGGTCGTACAAATTTGCAGCTCAGAGGTTTCCAAAGCAGATTAACGCCTCTTTTGCTGTCACTTTCTGGTATTAACTTGATTTGTTAGGGTTGGTTTGTATAGTTATGTTATAACACAGACAAATGCTCTGTCAGTGTTGTTTTCTCAGGTCGTTCCCCAGTTGATTCTGCTTTGAGTAAAACAGAAAGATAGCCGTTACCAAAGCTGCGTCCAAAACCACACACTACTGTACTACACATACTACACTAATGCATGGGCTTGTGTTGGTGGTGCACTACTTTTTGTACTATTTAGTGTGGTAGTATGCGGTTTTGGACGCAGCCCAAGTCATCTCTAAGGGGCAAGCATGAGCTCGCGCCAAAGCGTTGGCGCCCTTTTTTCCCTTCAAGGTAGCAGCCAATAAGCATTCGCAGGAGCGCATGGGCGGAGTTTAGTTGCTCAGATACCGCCGCAACCTGCCTGACGTCAACAGCAACTGACGGTTGGTGGTTAAAAACAAGGCTGTGGGGCAAGATGAGCTCAAACTTTATAACTTTCTAAAGTTCATCTTGGGTCTTGAAAAGTGCGCAGGTTTAAGTCTGCGGTCTTGGAGAGAGTGTTCACGGTACTTCAGAACAGACTCTCTCTGATACTTTCCACTGAGATTATAATGCCGGAGACCATAGCCTTCCCGTTCACCCCGTAGACTGTAGTACAGGGAGCCCTGCAGCAGCTCCACTGCGGGACCGGGTTACCGTCACCCACACAGATGTCCGCCGGAGAGGAGCCGGGACTCACCAGGCTCGAAGGCGAGGATGAGGAGGTCGACGTGGAGACCGTCGAGGCGAAGCGGAGGCCGAGCCGGAGCCCGAAGTGTGCGCGCTGTCGGAACCACGGCGTGGTATCCCGCCTGAAGGGCCACAAGCGGCTGTGCCGGTGGCGGGACTGCCGCTGCGCTAACTGCGCGCTGGTGGTGGAGAGGCAGCGGGTGATGGCGGCGCAGGTGGCCCTCAGAAGGCAGCAGGCGGCCGAGGTGAGCGGACTGCGCAGGCGCGCCTCTCGCTCCGAGTCTTACAGACTGCGAGTTTGTTGCTTTTGATGCATTACTTATTTATGTAACTCCGCGTTGTGTCTCATGAGGTCTCCGAGTAAAAGTGGGCCGATTTACAGTTGACATCCACTGAGTTTTATTAACCGTAACCACTGTCTAAAAAGTTTGTTAACTGTCGAAAAAAGTAATAATAATCCACAGTAATTCAGAATCTTCCAATCCCGTCACGCGTAGAGTAGCTGTTAACTTTTATTTACTAAAGATGCAGACACGCTCTTATGTGGCCTCAAAATAGTTTTAACACACTGTGATGATCAAAAATGATTAAAAACTTTCACAGCACAGCTCATTGTGTTGCTTCAGGTGTAGGCACTGACTGAATGACAAATAACAAGCTGAATACTTTAAAACTTTGAGTTGCACAGCGCAGCGTTGCTTTGTTGCTTTTGGTGCAGTCCGAGTGGATTATTTAAACAACCCTGCAGAAATAGTGTCTCCTGAGAGCTGTATGTTGTATAACAGTAGGCCTGTTTACATCTATTGACTTGTTAACATTTGTAATCCGTATTTAAAAGATTTTTTTTTTATTTTGCACAATCCACAAGCTACACAAAATTAGTCACATCTGAAGTTATTTACTTGAAGCCCAGTATTATGTACACAATCTTAACAACAAACATTATTCACATTTACATTTACAAGTTATTATAAAACATTAGTGGATGCTATTTCATTTTTATAATGAACCTGTTTTGAATACTGATAATAACTGTTGAAGTAATAATTAAAAGGTGAAATAATAAATTAACCAAACTTTATATAATAGGAACTTCAGCTATAGCCAAAAGACTTACTACTTTTTTGGATTACTTATTTATGCAATACTGAATGTTTCTTTAAAAAACTGTGTAAAAGAATATTTCTGTTCCCTGATGCTTTACAACAAAGCTACCTTTTAAATACTGAGTACAGTTATTAATTTTCAGAGTGTAGTTTAATTACGAAATTTATTTGAATTATCCACACTTTACCAACTATAGCTATAACGAAATTGTCACACACGGAGTACAGACCTGTTTCTTTTCTTACGCAGGGTAAGAAGAGTCAGAGGAGTGCTTCTTTCCTCCGTCGCTCAGCGTACCAGTGCTACAGCAGGGCACCCAGTCTTCTGGCAAAGAGCATTCTGGAGGGTAAGCCTTAATGAACACACATCTCATTAACACATCCAGAGGCTCCCAGGCGACATAAGGAGACAGTGGATTAGTTCAGCCATTATGCTGCAGATCCCTCTGCCCGTAACAGAGCTGTTTGTGTTTATTTAAGGTAATTAAAATTATGCAAATGAAGGTAGGAATTACAGTGGAGTGGACTGATGCAAGTGCTTCAGAGACAGAAGGTCCCTGATGTGCTTCATTCAGCATCGACATTAAAGTTCCTGCACTGCTGTTTGTTCTCCAGTTTGATTTTATAATAACCTTATCACTTAGACTCAGTGTTCTTCAGATTTTATTATGGGAAATGCTAATGGTTTATTGCATTGGGGTTGTTAGACTGCTGATTTTATTGAATCATTCATGATATTAGGAAGTATACTGGCCCTTTTTCCCCACATTTGGAATGTCTGGATAAACGAAAAATGATTTATTATAATTAAAGACTTTTAAGATTTTTATTTTTGGTCAAATTATAGCAATGTGTTCATGTTTATACACTATAAAATGGAACATGCCATTAAATTAATGTTGAATTAGTACAAAAATTAACAGACGCAGCCAAACATGGTTTATACCGTACAAAATGAGATTATGTTTTTTTTTTTTTTAATCATGATATGAACATATATTAAGACTGGTCCTTGCTTTCTCTATACCTTAGGCTACAAGCCCCCAGTGCTGGAGGACTGGCCGAAGAGACTCCACTACCCTCCACTGAGCGTGAGGATGAGGAAGAGGAGAGCATTTGCTGATAAAGAGCTGGAGAGTGTGATGCTGGAACGAGAGATGAGGCAGAGAGAGATGGAGGAGCTCCCTGAACTCGTCTTCCTTCAGGCTACTATATCTCCTGCCCCTTCCCCATGTTTCTGCTCACTGTCCGACACCAACTTGTCCAGTCACTTACCCATGTACAAATCCAGTCCACTGCTGTTTGAGTGTGATCTTCACTGCCATACACAAGAGTTTAAACTCAGCTCTCTAGAGCAGTGTCAAAGGGGGGACATTCTCACACAAAGCTGCCATCTTCAAACAGCAAAAGACTGGGAAACTTGCAGTGAGAGGGACTCATGTCTGGAATCTTTTCCGCTGCCCTCATTTCAAAGCTCTCAGTATTACTGTAGCGAAAACTCAGGTGTCAACACAGAACAGACCGTGCCAGAAAATGTCACTGCTGACTCGTCTAGCGGCGTGCCAAACCGTGTTGCTGCTGACAGACTGGATATCGCGTCAAAGCGAGATGGTGCCCTTTCTCTGATTGAGGCAAAGGTGCTGTCACAGGGCTGAGCTGCCAGATAAACACTGCAGGGCACCGGGGCTTGAAAATCTCACACAAAAACACTGGGACACTAAAACAAACTCTGTTAAAAATTCCAATGCAAGGCCCTTACCCTTTTCTGTAGAGGCCTTGCTGATGAGATGATGAGGAGTATTCTCTGCAGAATCCACGTTTTTAAAGTTGGACACTTGCAATGCCACAGAAAAATGTTCATGTGTCAAATGAATTTATTCTCCAGGGAGTTAAAACAGAGCAGAACATTTGGACTTGTCTTATGTTTATAATTGTGTATCTTTTTTGATTCACACAATTGTGTGCTAAATCAAATTAAATATTTTTTTTAGCTTTATTTATTTCTATTGTCCTTTTTTATTGTGTATTCATACAGAAGCTTGTAGTTTTACATTTATGCTGTAGTGTTTTCTAATTGTATCACAAACATGCTTTGTATATCATGAGCTTTGTTTGTATATAAATATATATGTGAATAACTAATTCGCTGCTGTTTTCTTTTAGTCACTGTGCACAATAATATTTATCATCTAGACACAGTGTTGAAGCAGTAGGATTAGTTCTTTTAAGGCAAGACAGAAATTTACCCTCTATTTTTAAAGAAGACTAATAAAGAAAAGAGCCCTGTGGTGGGGAGCAGCTCTGAGTGTAACATTACACTAAGAAAAATACACGAATAAGGAATGAGTTGCATTTAAAGGTGCAAAATATATTAATGTATATAGAATGCTCTTTCAGAAGCATTAATAGGCTTTTCAGTAATTGCATTCAGTAATTACAAGAAAATCATCACTGTCAAAACCAAGCCTTGGTCCCAAATTTTTTGGTAATTTTTTTACTTTTTTACATAATAAAATACTGGCTGCCTATTATACTCTGTAAACATTTCATGATAAAAGAAATAGAAATGGTCCAATATGATCAATTTCATTAATTTTCATAAAAGTTAAAAATGTTTTTTTTCCTCTTTCGTACAGTCACGCCATACCAGGCTTTGTTGTGACAGCAACAAAATGTATGTTTTTGCCTGTGTTAAAAGGACATTTTTACAAACTTTATTTCCACTAACTTTATTTTTAATATTTTCTGACTAACTTGTACTAACAGCACAGTTAATGTGAGGCTATTCACTGAAAAAGATCTGCACATAGTTCTTCTATTATAGTCATAGCCACCTTCATGTGAGATAGATGGTAACCTCACTGATAAGGTTGCCTTAGCAACATTGTTCTTTATTCTTCAGAGTGGCTTTATTCTGGAGCCTCGGCAAGTTTGTTTAACCTGCAGCTGATCTGTATCCTTCCTCTTTTCTCCTCCTTTCTTTTTTCCCATCATTACAATTTCTCTGATTGAGGAACCAGATAGTTTTGACATCTCTGGACCGTGTGGCGTCAACATAGGTGATAGCACCCTGCCCTCTTCTTTGTCTGTCTGTATCTCAGCGCATCTCAGAGCGCAGATAGGGGCTCCACATCGGGAGGCTTTCAGAGGAACCTTAATCGTTCCCACAGGAGAGTAAAGGCAGTACTTTCCAGTGTCTCTGAAGCCCTTTCACAATGAATGTTATACTTGACACCTATGCAGAGCAGAGAAATATGAGCCCTGCATGTTACAATGGGCTATGTATTGACAGGCAGCCTCCCCTGGATGATAAAATTGAACACTGAGCAGATAATAAACTGTCTGTTGGTCGAATAAGGACTTCCATAAATTAATAAATAAATAAACTGAGAAGCACAATGATTCCTGTCAAGAATGGATATCGATTTTCTCTTTCAGGTAAGTTACATTTATATTCATCTGCCTTCCTCACCGTATTTGTTCTGCTTCATAAAGAGATGCTCTTCAGCAGTTTAAAGCATTCGGATCTCTTTTAGATCACCAAGAAGTCAACAAGGTTACGAGGGACGCATTTATCGGAAATGTTCCTGCCCTTTTATGGCATTCTAAACAGCTGTGCTCCAATTTGTCAGCATTATTCTTTTCAAAAAATAGTGTGGTTGGCTATGCTGAATGAAAAATCATGTGGTGGGCTGTGACAGCACAAGCAGTAGGCTGAACCACATCATTACCCTTGTCCCAGCTCGTGTGCCAGTTCTTCTGCTAAAGTATCAACTTTGAAACTCTTTCCTCCTCATTTCCATTTCAGTCACATGTTCCACACCAGGAACCCACCACGTTTGAGACTTGGCTTTGCTAACCCAGCCACCCTTGTGCACTATGTAGGGTGTAGAGAGGAGAAATGTTATTTCAAGACAGTGCCCCTGAACCCCTTCTCCTGTGGATTTATTTATCCTCGCAGCCTGCTCTTAGTGTGAAGTCACCCCAACTTGTTTGTGTAATCTAGATATCAGTGTCTGCTCTCTCCTGACAGGATATCAGCAACGTTTGGTATCAGGGCCCACGGGGGTTGCTTTGATCCCTCTGCCAACTCCCTACTCAAGCAGAATTCATCGGGTTTGACTCCCTGTGCTTGGCAGGCAGGCCTCAATCCCCCCCAAAAGCAGCTCTAGGGTTACACAGCCCCCCATTCCCCAAGCAGGGGTGTCTCTTTCAGTGTGGGTGGGCTGGCCTTCTGCCCCTCACCTGCTGCACCCAGTAAAAAACGCTCCTGTATGTGTCATTGGTCTAGAATAAATGGACGTACTGAAGGCAGGAGAACTTAAATGACTGTGACAAATAAAGTGCTACTTTCTGAGTTGTTTATTTCTTTCTTTCTTTCTATTTGATCCCTTGCAATAGTACAGCATAGTATAGCACTGTGAGGATGAAAAAGGTTATTTCTGCTAAAAATGATAACACAGATAAACAACAACAACAAAAACATATAAAGTAAAGTAACAGATCATGTTAGCATTTTGGTTTGGGAATATCAAAACTGTGTTGCGTCCCTGCAATTCAGTGGAAAAATGAACATAAGTAAATGAAAGTAATATAAATTAATATTGGTTACTTGAACCTTAAACATGGAAATTTCAAGGCTGCCATCCAAATCATCACCAAGAGTCTTTGTAGCAGGCCTGAGTAAACAATTAATACTGTTTCAACATAAACAGTTAATCAGTACTTTGTCTCCTTAATGAACAGAGAAGATCTGGTGTTAAATGTGCTCATGTTCCACTTAACAGTCAAAACACTGACCCAGTAAACCTGAGAAAGAATCTCTCAGCACATGCAGACATTCAAATGTGCTTGTGGGCTCGGGCTGTGTGCTCTCCCATCTCTCTCTCTCTCGCTCTCTCTCTCTCTACTCTATTTTTCTCTCTCACCCTCTTCTTTCTTTCTTTCTTTCTTTCTTTCTTTCTTTCTTTCTTTCTTTCTTTCATCCCCCTCTCCTCTACAGCTCCCCTTTCTTTCTTTCTGTCTTTCTTTCTTTCTTCCTTTTTCTTTCTTTCTTTCTTTCTTTCTTTCTTTCTTTCTTTCTTTCTTTCTTTCTTCCTTTTTCTTTTTTTCTTTCTTTCTTTCTTTCTTTCTTTCATCCCCCCTCTCCACTATAGCTCCCCTTTCTTTCTTTCTTTCTTTCTTTCTTTCTTCCCCCTTCATCTATAGCTCCCCTTTTTCTCTCTCTCTCTTTCTTTCTTTCTTTCTTTCTTTCTTTCTTTCTTTCTTTCTTTCTTTCTTTGACATTATTTGTTTTCAATATCTTTCTTTCTTTTGGCATTATTTCCTTTTTATATCTTTCCATTTTTCTTTCCGTTTTTCTTTTCTTTGTTTGTTCGTTTGTTTCTTTCTTTTAATCCTCCCCCTCTCCTCTAAAGTTCACTTCTTTCTTTCTTTCTTTCTTTCTTTCTTTCTTTCTTTCTTTCTTTCTTTCTTTCCCCAACCCACATGTCTCTCTCCCTCGGTTTCTCTCTCTTTCCACATCTCTCTCTCCTCACCCCCCGTCTCCAGTGCCCACTGCTGCAGCTGTGTGGCTATACTGTTACTTCCCAGCTCCCAGAATCCACTTTTATCCATTCCAAAAGCACAAACCACTGTGTTTCCTGACTCTGACTGTACAGGCTGTCATGGGCTGTTCTTCAGGTGTTACATCTAAATGCCTCATGAGCATGACTTACTTGCTTATAATGGTATAGTCCTGTGCATAAAATGCAGGTTTGAATTGCCTTTTACTAAAGAACCATTTAAGTTTATCCAAACACTAGTGTAACCCCAATAACCCTAACCCATCTCAACTGCCCGTGGGTGAAGGCCAGGATTCCTGGATGCCTCTGGAGTTTAATAGGGTGGGCAGTGATATACAGATGAAAATAGCTGTGTTCCCTACCCTGTGAAACCATTAGCGCGGTATTTAGCCTGCTTGCATTTGGGTCTCCTCTATGGGTAACCTTAACCTCCGAACAGCCGTAACAGCCCACAGTCCTGGAAAGCCAATCCCCCCACTACGTGTTATGTGGTCACTGCTCCGTAAAAGTGGCATACAAACGTATTGGCACCTTCTTATGAGTGATTGATTGCACCAGGGCCAGGCTGCGGAAGAGGAAAAGAGGGGGTTATTGACGCATAAACCTCCATTGATGATGTTGGGTGAAAGCTCAAGGAGCGAAGGGATGTGGGAGATTGGAGTAATAACAGCTGCTTGGCCAAAAGCAATGTGTGGAGGAAGCAAAGAGAAAGAGAGAGAGAGTTGAGTTGGCAGAATGTAAGCGAAGTGAGATGGCGTGATATAGTAGAGAAACCTGGTATTCGGCCCAGCTGTACAGCCTGCACCCCAGCCAAGAACAACACCATGTTTAAGGGCTATTTATTCTAACTGGATTACCATTACAGACATGACAATCCATGCTGTGAATTCTATGTGAAAGCAAGACCAGAGGGGTGGATTAAGAATTGCAGCTCATTCAAGTATCTGTGACAATATATAGCATCAATAAAAACAGGACTCAGCCGTTTGCCTCATGATGAAATGATGATGAAATAGGCAGCAGAGTCCAGTCAACTGGGACAAATGAACTTGTATTAAACACTCTCTCCACAATGTAATGCTGAAATCTCA